GGGATCTATCGGTGTGGGGTCGTATCGATGTGCATAATGCAAAAATTTACTAAGGGGGAGTATCGGTGCGGGGGAGTATCGGTGCGGGGGAGTAACGGTGCGGGGGAGTATCGGCATGACCCCCTCCAAATCGGGTCATACATAACCTCAGCACCCCCCCCCCCCAATTATACAGAAATTAATTTTTTAAGCTTATAGTTATAAACAGATAGATATATCCAAAATATATAATATAAACTAATACATATATTAGTTAATTATTATTATTATTTGTGGTTATAATTAAAATGATAAACCCTGAAATTAAATTGCTGCGGTTTAGCATCAGATGTTTGAAAGATGGAACCATAAGTAAATTGTGTACACCAACCCTGTTTACAAAGAGTTGCCACTTTATCGAGATAGGTAGACTATATTCTACCTAGGAATTTTACATGGAAGAAAAAATATTTTTCTACTCACGAATCACTACTTAACCCTTGCCTGCAGTTGGATGCCATTTTTAAACCATTTTTTATAATCAATGACAATTGATATAGTTCTAATTGTTACATGTAGGCTATCCGTGACGTTTATACATCCTAAATTTCGTCTTCCTGTACATTTCAAAAATAAATATCGACATCGGGTACTTTTACTTGAGGGGTTTTATTGTTTAAGGTCCCAAATTTGCAGATGAAAAAATGTGAATATGGACCATATTCAAACACAGATATTAAACCTCCAAATTGAAATTTTTCTTTGGTCTTGCCATGTTTCACTCTGCACACTAATGTCTCTTTTGTGCAATAGGGGACGCTTTATACTCAGTTAACCAGATTACCAATAAGTACCTCCACATACAGAAGAACCTTGGCTGTAAACAAAACATGACAAAATGCCACATATTCTACAATTGCCGTCTGAAATACTGTCGAATTTTCTGATTTATTTATCTAGCCGTGATTTATGTAGTGTATCTTTGGTGTGTAGGCGGTTCAGAGCGGCAGTCCAAGTTGACGAGTTGTGGAGACAAAGGTGTTTAGAAGGTAAACATTTAGATTAAACAACAGCATATAACGTAAAAATATTTACACGAGTTAGTTAAATTACTAAGTTACTTCTTTCGTATGGTGCACCATAGTATTATTGTGGTTTTGATATAAAGCTATTAAAGGGCACTGCCGTGTATTGTTCTAGTATTAGCACGTTAGCAGTACTATATTCGGTTTCTGATATATACTAGATGTGCTAACGCATGAAAGCAAAGGCCACTAGCCCTTACGAAAAAGTCCTATATGATCCTATAGGACCCTATAGGAAATTGGGCCAATTTCCTATAGGATCGTATAGGATCCTATAGGACTTTTTCGTAAGGGACAGAAAGTACCATGGATGAAGTAAGATTTGCTTGCCTATCGGCCATGCAGTTAGGCCACTGTATACACTGTATCATTCTTTGGAACAAATGAACCTTCGGACTATCGAACCCTCAGGTCAATGAATAAGTTAAAATGTTTCGAACTATCGAACATTCTTACCACTGAACCTTCAGACTATTAAACCTTCAGACTATTTAAATGCACCCAACACGAAGGACGAGTTGGTGGCTCTAGGTGGTGTGTCTCTAGCACCCCATTACCATAGATTAGATCGACCTACTTTAGATCGACCTAACTCCCTGGGGGTTCACGCTAAATAGCTGTCAGCTGGCGGACACGAAAGTTAATTTCCCTCTTACAGCTTGTAGTAGGCGGGACGGACATTTAAGTCGGATTATCTGAAAGTAATCTTGTGAGACTCCCCGCGGGGATAGATCGATCTAAAATCTATGGGAATAGAGCCTAGTACTGCATTGTACTGCTGCTCTAGAGTCAACAGACTGTGGCCCAGCTATTGTGTGATTTTGTATGTCATCTTACGGGTGATGTCATAATTGGGATTTGGGGGTAAAAACTGAAAAATCGGTTTCTCAAAGTTCTCTTTTACCCCACACTCACAAACACCGTTTCAGTGCCAATTTAATAACAGCATTTAGTACTTGAAACCAAGAGATTTTTTTTAAAGTCTTAGTTCAGATTTTATTTTTATCATTGATGAAGCAAAACAATGCCTTATTTTAATGAAAATCTGTAATTATGGGCTCATACTCCATAACAAAAACATTTTAAACAAAAGGATAGCACAGGATTGTAGCTTATAGACTGATGATCAAATCTGCCAATTAATATGATAAAATCTTGTACAGGGATAAAGTTATGCCTCATACTGGTTGCTATCTCACCTCAAAATAGAAAGGTGTGTAATTGACAATTAAGGCTTTGAGTTACCTGTTCTAACACATTGCAATGAGAAAGATAAACGCTGATATTTCATATTTTTGAGTTTTTTATTGCTTTAAATCAGGACAAAGATTCATTATTGAACTAGAGGATCAGAGAGGCGATACCGCCTCCAAATATTGTACCACCAGCTGGAGCAAGCGCATTCGTATAGACCCCCACATACACAAAAAAAGGGACACAGCCACCAGTTTTGTACTTGACAAGCTGTAAAAATGCAATCAACAAGAATTTTTAAACTATTGCAAAAAATATATATGGTACAATCAAATTTAAATTCTTCGTAAGGTAGGTCAAGGGTCAATTTCAAGGTCACAGTAAATTGCNAATTTACCAATCAAAATGGATTTTCCTGGTGAAATAAGTAATATCCTCATACTCACAAATCATTTATCTATCCCTCTCTGCACTCTGCTCTTATTTGACCTTTAATGGAATTTATAAAGGTTGATTTAAATTAAAATGACTGGCCAGTCATCATAACCAGTGACCATCTTCCTAAACACTGATGGAAATATCATCATCAGGCATGCTCCAGAAAAAAATTATTTAGGGAGCTAAATCATTTTTAATGTATATGTAGACCATACATGGAAGTGTAGTACAGTTTTTAATAAATCAACATTATTATTATTTAATATTATGTAAGGTTGTGGGATTTTCACCTATGGGGTATGCCTTTAATTATGTTATTTTGAAAAACCTTAATACCTAAAAAGAAAAAAGAAAATGAAAGTCCCCATATTACTTAGTTAATAATATTCACCAACCATCAGTCTTTTTCTGTCTGTGATTTTCAAAAGAAAAAAAAAAATTATATATATATATTTTGTTAAAGAGAATTTTTCTTTTTGTTAGTGCTCCATAGATATGGATACTTGATTGGACCATGGCAGACTCTGTGTGATGTATATGGTGGTTTATTGCAAGTTAAAGTAAGTTTTTGTTATCTGGATGCAACTTTTCATTAATTTTGTGCATGCACGTGTGTGTTTGTGCATGCATGTGTGTGTGTGTGCATAGGTATGCAATTGTACAGGACTTTTACCTTAGTTTGGTGGAATTCACCTGTTTACAATATTCTACCTGCAAGTGTGGCCTGTGATACATGTGTTACCCTCTGGTTTGCATTCACTTTGTTCTAGGTCTAAGTAACCTGTACTTTTTTAGCTGAAATAATTGTAACAAGGAAGCCCAAATTATTGTCCTGGTGTGAAAGACACATGGCCTTCTTTAAGTGGACAATCTTATACAAACATAACTTTCTCTTTTTTTCTAGAAATTTTTCTGAAAATCCTTTTGCCTCTAAATGCTTTGCCCTTCTCATCATTGTACAATCATAGGCATACAGCTGAAATTCTAACTTGATGGTGGAACAACGCTACATACTGTACTGTCAGGGCACAGTGAGTTCTGGGATTGATTTGAGCTTAAAGCAGTAGCTCACTTGAAAGGAAGGGTCCTGGTTATTTTTATGCATCTATATTGTGATAAAAACAAAGTTTTACAACCCTATATTTATTTATTTATTTATTCACAATTGTAGAAAATACAGGTAAGTGCAACAAACTCAAATATGTCTCCATGGTCTATTCATTTATAAGCAAATATGTTAGAAAATTTTTTGTCAAGAATTGTTACTTTTATATGAAATATGGAACCATGACACAAATTTACAAAGGTGTTTTAATATTATCATTTTAGTTTGACAGTAATACTAGTAAGCTGATAGGACTACAGTATTATGAGGAGCCAGTGAAGCTGTTACAACCATGGCATGTGCAGTCCGTGTTTGAAATCACACTAACAAATGACAACAAAACACAAATTCGATGTTTGCTGCCAACCTGCATAAAGGACTGCAGCAGTCATGACGGTGAAGTAGATAGGGTATGTAACAGCTGCAGTAAGTGTTTGCGTATAGAATGAGATTTCTTTGTAGCAAAATCAGTTGTATCATGTATCAGATTTTTGTTGCAATATTTGGAGAATTTTTAAAAATATATTTATACATATCTTATTTTATCTAGTTTTTTAGGTAAAAAATTAAGCAAGATTCAAAAATTTAATGTTAACTTTGTTTTGACTTGATTTGATCTCATTTTCATAGAAAATGGTGTAGTGGGAGAATTACCTGTCAAGTGACATATCTTTGCAAAGTTTGTCACAAAACCAGCTGTAGCATTCTTTCTTTATTTTCATATTTCATATACAGCAGGTTAGTCTAAGGGACCATTCCCAGGCCATATCATACTAACTGAGGATTGATCTACCTCCAAGGGAATTCTTGCGAAATTCAAGTGGCTTAGATATCTGTCATGCCTACTGAAGCTGCTAAACAACAATTAATTAACCCCTAGCAGCTTCAGTAGGCGTGACAGGGGTTAATTAATTGTCGTTTAGCAGCTTCAGTAGATGAACCAGACATCTATTCCGCTCAAGCTGAAAGCAGTTTAGTGAGAAACCCCTCAGAGATGGAGTATTCCTGTTAGATCGACCCAGTTATGCGAACCCAGTCTAAGGTTAAATAAAGATCTAACCACTTGATATGTTAATTGTTATCTGTAGCTGGGAGATGGGCAAGGGTTCTGTTATCGGTGCAGCAGTCCTGGTGATCACGGTACCACACAGAGCAGAATGGAGCAGTGGTTCTCTGAGTGGCTAGGCACAGACCTGGGAGATGGTGACCAGATGGATGATTATTATGAACACCAGTTGTTAATACGAAGATTTAAATACACTCACATGTAAGATATGCTACATCCTGTATTATTATATCTTTAGGAATTTGCATATTACATAGTTATGTATAGCATGCATGGAAATTGTTTGCATTTCAAGTTTATTTGAAAACGGAATCTTTATTTTTCTCTCACAATTCATTTGCATTTTTATTACCACTCTGGGCTGAGGTGATATGTAGGGAGTGGAAGGAGCAGATGTTGAAATACACCATTAGGTAACATCATTTCATAGAAAAAATTGTAGACAGGACGGTGAGATACTCGGTATACTTCTGTCAAACAGTCCCCAATATGATAATTAAGTCTTAGACCCCATTCCCATAGATTTTAGATCAATCTATCCCTGTGGGGAGTCTCACTAAATTACTGCCAGCTTAGCCAGCTTAAGCGTCTGTCCCGCCTACTAAAAGCTGTAAGGGGGTAATTATCAGCACCCATGATTAGTGTACTCCAGAGAGATTGATGGTGGAATCTGCCTACTCTTATGTTTTAAGTGGAGTTAAGGGAAATTTGGAAATGTTGGTTGTGACTCCATTCAGGAAGTGGACCAAAGTTTCTTCAGTTCTCCATTCTCACGAGGAGAAGACATACCACAGTGATGCCACCATAGCCACAGACAACTTCAAACACAGTTTTGAAAACCCTACACAGGGGATTGATGCCAGTCTGGACAAGAGGTGGCAGGAACAAATTGAGCACATCTGTGTGGTCCTTGCAAAAGCAAAAGCAGTGCTTGTCTGTGGGAGACAGAACATTCCTCTCTGAGGCCATCGAGATTATTCAGCACCCTGCATAAAATTACATGCACTATACCTGGGACAACAGCAGAGGCAGAGTGGAATAACAGTGCCCTAAGAAGAGTAAAAACATTCCTGCATGCAAGAATGGACTACAATGGACTGACAGGGCTTGCTATGATGCACATACATCACAGACATGCGATTGATATTCAAAGAGTGGTAGCAAAGTTTGCTCAGAGCCAGCCTAGAAGAATGTGTTTAAACAGTCTGTTTGATAAATAAATTGTTTTGAATTTTGACCTAGTGAAAGATTAATGACAATAAACTACGTGAAAATTGATATTAGTTGTTTTTTTTTTTAATTTACATTTATTTCTCATGGAATACATATTGCCTACAGTTACAGCAATGACGTTACGTACTACCTTGCAAAGCTACTTGCTTCCTGTGAATTTTCTCAGTGCCCCCACCCCCCAAAAAAGGCAGGGCCTATATGGACACATGACCACAGCCAATTGGGGCAGGCTGGTTCTCCGTTTGTGAAAATATAGATTTATTAATCATAATTATTTGAATTTTAATTCATTACAAGATTTGAATGTGAATACTTAATGTTGAGCTTGATTTCACTCTGATTAAACAACAAAAACTGAAACAACTATTTAATTCATTATACTTTGTGACATAAGTAACTCTCATTACAGACCAGAACTAGAATGCAAACGTCTCAGCTGGCCCACTGTGACTGCCCACCCAGTCCTGAGACCAGGCCTGTTTAAAGCATCCTATGGAGCACATGGCACAGAGCTGATCCTAGTTTCCTATAAAGGGTTAGAAATGCAGGGCTACAAAGTTTCAGTAAGTTACATATGTGTAGAGGTGATACAAAACATAGCATTATTTCTAATGCTTACTTTTATTTGAATTTTCAGTAAGAAAAAACAAAATGTGTAGGAGAGATATAAATTAAAGGGGGAGGGTCATCCCTTGTATATAACCATTTTAGCAAGGCGATCAAATGAAGAATTAGCATGTAAATTTAATATCTGCCTGCTCAAGCTCTGAATCACCATTTCAGGGTGACCCCAATGTGCCAGCAGGACAAATCAGTATCCGTGCTGACCTAACACAGTCACTAATTCTCAGTGAAGAACAACAGAGCAGTGTGCAGCTTCTCACAGACATTGACCTGCCTGATGCAGCACCAGCTGTGGCCACAGCATTGGAACAGTTGCCACCTCAGCCATTCTTTCTTCCATATGACTGTTCATATAGAGAGCCTAGGAATGATTGCCCAAAGAAATGCAAGGCAAGGTAATGTGACACCTATTTGATTTTAAGTTAACCATGCCTTTGTTTTTGGAGTCTAAGAAATGAATATAACAGTTAAGTGTTATGAGAGATTATTTAGGAATTTTGTCTCTTTACTTCATTTAAGTGAAGTAGGAAAGTCGTATTAATTTTTCATTTTAATGAAATAAGAAAAAAAAGTCGATAACCAGTTCTAAGTTTTGCCTCGAGTACCGTTTCTTGTTGTTGGCATGGCTAAAACTGTACTTGACTGTGTAAATATCTAAAAGAAAAAAATCAAAAAACAATGTTAAACTGGTTTAAACAAGGTCAGTACCTGAGGAAATGTTATATTGACACTTAAAATTTAATTGTTTGTGTATATTCTGACTACTTATGTCAGTCCTTGTCATTGTGGTATATCTGACACATTGGATAATACCATAACTGCCAACCCATATTCTTATTTTACTTTGAATTTCTTAGTAAGAGCATTTTGATTTTGGGAAAAAGAGCAGGTGGAGTTTAAAAATCATGTTGATTTGTGCGAGTAATTTGAAATTTATCTATTTTGTCACATGTATTTTTGTGACTTTGAATACATAACTGCCAAACCATATTTTGTCTTTTAAGTGTCTATGTATTTGCCAGCTTTGCTGTGTAGCTGGAATTATGTTACATCTGAATTTTTTTTTTTCTGTCCAGATTCTTAGGAAAGCTTCAGATAGCTGGGCATGGTTTCCAGGATCCGAGGTTGACTCCCATGCATTGGATAGTATTCAATGAAGACTTGTTCGGAGTGCTCTGGCTTGATTTGAGAAATTTCTTCACTTTCCACAGAGTTGAGACAGACTTTTAGTGGAGGAGCCATAGTTAATAACCAAATAATTGGCATTTTTCAAAGTTACTTTAATTATTTTTTGCATAGATTGATTTTGCCATTTCTCAGTAACATTGTACTTAAAGAAAAAGGTCATAATAGGCTGGTTCTATTCTGACTTGTCAAGAAATAATTATAATTAGAGCAGATGCATAATTTCATTATTTATGTCCTATATTAAATAATAACTTCTGGTTGAGAATTAAAACCTGGCTGATTAATTACGATTCTTTTGATACATAAATATCTCTGCAATCATGACTAGGTATTTTGTTGGTATGTTATGATTATTTATGTTCAAGATATTAAAAGATGTTTACTCTTGTTCTGTTAACTGATGGCAGGGAAATGTGGAGCAACATTTGTCAACATGTACAATTTACATCATGGTGCAGTTCACACTGTTTATTTCACACACTGCATACCTGGTTACCACATATACTATTACATAAACAGCTTATACAAAATCAAACCATTCACGTATCCAGTACACTAAACCCTGTCATTTTTTACCTCACAAAAGGCAGTGTCTTTCTTCAGGTCTAGTTCTTTTAAAAAGCAGTCAGTTAATTTTCAGATACCTGCTACTCTATCATAGAAAACACGCCAAATGTACCATATGTACTGAGATGAGTGCATTTTTCCTTGTCAAGAATTCAATAACCATCATGAAACGATAATTACCTAAACAGAAAACAGACGACCATCTTGACCCTGAAACACAAGGATCCATTTCTTCATGACATTATCATTTTTAAATCATTTCTTTTCCAAGAGCATGCCACTGATGCCCTGTAAGTGTAGACTTCATGACATTTTTTTTCAGTTAATGCCAGAACAAAGAACCAACTTGCTGCACTTTAGTAACTTCAACCATTTCCAGCATTCTGACCACTGCTTATTCCTGGAACAG